AGTTTGGCAAAAAAAAAAAAAAAAAAAAAAGAAAAAACACTTACCCCAAAAGCAGTCACTCAGCAAAGAGGAGCCAGTTTATGATAATGCAACTTCTTAAAACATTTATTATTCAATGCATTTAAATATTATTAAGCCTATAATGTTATACTGTAACTGTGTGAACATCAGCAGTAGCACTACACTGTACAGTACGTTCTTATCACATAAACCGTGGAAGGTGAAAATTGTGTTGATTTCCCAATCAAAGAAAATCGCCAAGGGGAAAATAGTAATTTGGTCATAAACTTTAAAAATTTTCTGGGTTAGTTTTCATTTATATAACCACAGACAATGCTTTTGTTGCTGATATTTATCTGTTTTTTGTCTTCCAACATACAGTTACGCCATGTCAGATTCACTACATACAGTATGCTCACTTACTAGGTGCCCTATGTAGTGCACTACATGCTTAGTAGAACATTATATGAGTTTCGTCTACTGCACTAGAGTGACTCCTTCTGTTAACTAGTTATGCGTAGTATCACGTCTAAGACACACACTTTGTATAAATCTAATTTAAAATTCCTATATATAGTATACAGTGTTCAAATACTATATATATAAATTTTAAATTCTGGAAAAAAAGACATAAATTATTTGTATTAAATTATTTCCTACAAGGGTAATTTAGACAAATGGTTGAGAAAACATACTTGAGTGGTGAAATGTATTCTGACAGCTCTAATGCAAAGACACATTTGAATTAAAGATAAAATGTAAATAATAGTGATTTAATTTTATTTAAACTCTGTAAGAGTAAGATTGGAGATATCTGGGTTAAGGTTATATAAAAAATATGTTCAAAATATGATATCGATTTTAGAGCTAGCCATCACATAAGTTTATGACATGTATACAAAATATATCATTATATATTTAAATACTCAACACTGGACTGTTGCACCTCATGTAATAATGATTTAGATAGTGTTACATGACAAAAAATGTAACCTGTTTCCCCCCTGTAGGTGCTCTGATAAAAGTTCCTCTGATGGTGTACAGATTGTAGGAATGAGTGCCACTTTGCCAAACTTGGATCTCCTCGCCCGCTGGCTAAACGCTGAACTGTACCATACAGACTACCGTCCTGTGCCACTGATGGAGTGGGTCAAGATTGGCGCTAACATATACGATGGCTCCATGAATCTTGTCAGGCCATTCACTCCTGCTCTCCCTGTAAAGGTCAGGATTTAAACATACGGCATTGAATGTACTTCATTGCTGTGTACAGCTGTAAAATGAGAAGAGTATGTTTTTCTGTCTTTAGGGTGATGATGACCACATCGTGAGCCTCTGCTTTGAGACGGTGCAGGCAGGTCACGCTGCACTGCTCTTCTGTCCCTCTAAGAACTGGTGTGAAAAGCTGGCAGACAGCATTGCCAGGGAGTTTTACAACCTTCACCACCACGGTTTGTACCCTGTCCTGCTCAGAACGAACTAGAAACCCAAAAAAAACCCTCTATTCTAATGCTGGTTTGTATGTATTCTAGCTTACATGCTTTTTAACACTCTTGTCCCATTAACTTAGGCTATGTCATCTGATTATGAGACTTTTCGTCTCTTTGATTGCCAGTGCAGACAATATTAATGGAAGCGTTATTTTTAGTTATGACTGTTGGTGGTGCTATTACACTAGATTTCACAAAGAATCCACTTTATGCCATTTGCCTACAGCAAATAAGATAATGTGGATGTCAAAAATGTAGTCCTATTTTTCTGTGTTTTTTTTTCCTTGAATGAGAGGGACGGCTTAGCCTGCTAGTTCTGGATAAATTTTTTTTAAAAGATTGAGTAGGTTTATTAAAGAAGCTGAGCCAAGCAACATTAAGTTTCAATAATTTTTCAAAAATTTTTGTATGTATTAAAACCAAATAAAAATCAGATCATTTTGAAAGGTTTGAATGGTGGTTATAAACTTTGAATGGTGCCTAAGTTGAAGATTTCTCTTTTTATTTATTTATTTATTTATTTATTTATTAATTATAGAGAAGCAGTCAGAATCTGGAGTGCACTCTGTGTCTCTGAACCTTGAGGGTCTCCAGGATGTTGTGGCACAGTTAAAACGCACACCTGCAGGCCTTGATGAAATCCTGAAGCGCACGGTTCCCTGGGGCGTAGCCTTCCACCACGCAGGTACCTGGAGTTTATACTGACCATCAGTACCATCAGAACATAGTCAAGTGTCCAGTATCCACAGTCTGTGATTCTCAGGTGATGTTTTTCCCAGTCTGAGTGTTCCTTAAAACCTCTTATAAATGCCTTAAGAATGCAGAGAAACAGTTTATAAGAAGTCAAATAATTTCATTTTTCATATAGTGAAGAAGGAAATTAGAGCTGCACAATTAACTGTGGTCACAATTTTTAGCTTTCCAAATAAATATAATATAAAATATTTCAAGCTGCAATACTGGTTAGCGTACATAGTTTTTCTTTCTTTCTTGTTTTCTTTCTTTCTTTCTTTCTTTCTTTCTTTCTTTCTTTCTGCTGAGTCCACTCTTTTTATATTCAGAGACTGACTCATTACAAAGAATGTACAGTATGTTCAGTATGTAGGAATGGGCTTTCTTTCTTATTCTTTCTTTCTTTCATTTCTTTACTTTCATTTATTTCCCTTCTTTGTCCTTCTGTCTTTTATTTCTTTTTGGTCTAATCTTTTTTTCTATTTAGCATTTAAAGGATTAGTCACTTAGCTGATTACTTAAGAAACAGTATTCAATGATTGACACATTTAAAATGAGTAAAATTAGTTAGTTGTGTCTAATTTGGCTGAATAATTGCGATAAATAATTGTGAATTTGTGATTTCTTGATGTTCATTACACTTTTTGATTTAGGTTTGACATTTGATGAGCGGGATATCCTAGAGGGTGCTTTTCGTCAGGGCTTCGTCAGGGTCCTGGTCGCCACCTCCACTTTGTCCTCTGGTGTCAATCTGCCTGCACGCCGTGTGATGATCAGAACCCCAGTGTTTAACGGACATCTACTGGACATACTGACCTACAAACAGATGGTGGGACGAGCAGGACGTAAAGGAGTGGACACTGTTGGTAAGTCCTGGTTTTTTTTTCATATATTTTTGAAAGTAATAGAATCTAAAGATGTCATATATAGGTATTTCCTGTACCCGGATGAGCGCTTGACATGCATTATTCTTCTAAATTTTGTCCCAGGTGAGAGTGTCCTGGTGTGTAAGGAGTCTGAACGGATGAAGGGCATGAGTTTAATCCAGGGCTCCCTAAAGCCCATCAGCAGCTGTCTGGTGAAGCGTGAAGGAGAGGGAGTCACTACCAGCATGCTCCGAGCCATCCTGGAGGTTATAGCAACAATACTACCTATTAACCTTATTTATGTACTACCTTTAATAGATTTAAACTGCAGTTAAAAGTACCTTATGTGCAAAGAACGTAGTGTGGAAAATAGGTATAATTGTTGTTTTCCTTCAGCTGCTCCCGTTAGGGGTCGCCAAAGCAGACCATTGGTCCACATATTTAATTTGGCACAAGATGCTCTTCCTTGGGACTGACACTGAGAGTGCACTACTTGCACAACCCCTGGTGGCTAGGTTGCTTCCCTGCCCAGGGATTGAACCTGGGCTGTGGCGGTGAGAGCATGTGAGCCTTAACTGCTAGACCACCAGGGAACGCAAATATAAGAATAATTAAACTGAGAAGAAAATCAGCACGGAATCATCTTCATTTGTGTAAATTGTATTAATGAACAAGACATTTTTATTTAAAAATGTTTAAACTGATTCTAAAACAGCACTTCAAAACCCTCTCTTGGTGTAGATTTCTTGTTGTCCTGTTAGTGTTGCTATAGGATAGTGCTATTTTTTTTAAATCTTAATCTTAAATCTCTCTGTAAGTCCATCCTTGCTAAATCATAAGTCATTATATAACAATGTTTACCTCTAAAACCATGTAATTCACTTTATACTAAGTGAATAGTGTACATATAATGCATATTGGTAAGTCTGTGTAGTTCTAATAACAGTTGAGCTAAAGTTACACTAAAATCTAAGTGTGATTATGATATTTTCAGCTAGTATAATATTTTTCCAAATGCTAGTTTAGCAAAATACTGTAATGCTGAAGTAGAACACTGAGTGTAAACACATTATCAAATCAGAGTAATGCAGAAATATAATGCAACTACATTATATTACATGAATTGTAGCAAAAAGACAAACAAATTGCAGTCTTGTATTAACAAAAATACAGGATTTAATAAATTAAAGCTATGTATCATAGAGCACCAAGTTCCCAAGCACCCTGGACAAAAAACATGTCACATGGGTAATATCTTCCTTAATACTTGGTTATGCCTCTTATGCCTCACCTGACTAACAGCACCAATCCTATGAGGTAACTTCGTAAATTTGTGGCTGCGTGTTTTCCAAATATTTCCACAAGTTTTCTATGAAATTGAGGTGCTTTTGCAGGTCAGTTAAAGTGTCCCATTGTTCTGTCATCCTCATCAGATTTAGCCCAGATTTAGTGATGGGGATGTGACAATTTTCTTTTCTCAGGGAAGCTTAGATCCGCTCATGCAAATTAATTTTCCTCACTGTAAACCTCTTGTCTCGCCCTTTATAAGATCATAGTGGGTGAAGTTGCCAGCACACCAGAGGAGGTGAGGATGTATGCGTCGTGCACTCTGCTGGCAGCCAGCGTGGCGTCTGAACAACCTGATCAGCCTGGAGCAGCTCGGAGCCGTGGTGCCATTGAAGCCTGCATAGACTGGCTGATGGATAACGAGTTTATTCACATCCAAAAGGAAGGAGACGGTGAGGGGACATTTAGGTACAGCAGATCTGTTTCTCATAATTTGTATGTCATCATTGTTCAACTGTGCTGTTCTCATGCAGAGGAGAAATTTTGTCCTACTCATCTGGGTTCTGCCACACTGTCATCATCTCTGTCACCACCGGAAGCTCTGGGAATTTTTGCTGATCTACAAAGAGCAATGAAAGGCTTTGTTCTCGAAAATGATCTCCACATTCTTTACCAGGTAGAGATCAACTCAGTCTCACACTATACCATCTTAGTAATAATTTTTAGGGTCTTTTACTGCCTGAAATATAGATTGCACATGCACTTAAAACGCTGAAGAATCTTCCCCTTCCCTCAAGCAATCCCATCAGCTCGGCTGAAACTTCGTATGACTTGTGAGTTGCCTTTGATTTAAAAAAAAAAAAGGGGGTAGAAGCCTTAAATTAAGCAACTACTCAGATTCATTTCATGGCAATATTGTAGCTTTGAAACTATAGGTTATTACAGCTCTAAAACAGTACAATCTGGACCTTTAAGATAAAACTACAGACATCTAAAGGCCATACATTATATTTTATTTTATTTTATCTATCTCAAAGAAATCTACACTTATTCTTATTATGACCCAGATATTAAAAATGAATGTTATGAATTTTGAATATTGAATGAATGTTATATTTTTACACCAATTTCTCCCTCATTTTGGCTGATTCCCACCCACCAGCTAGCTCTCCCCTATCAAACGACAGGTACCAACCAGGGAGGGTGAAGGCTAACATGTTCTTCCTCCTAGACATGTGAAGCCAGCTAAGCACATCTTTTTGAACTGCTGCTCTGGGCACAAGACAGTGTAGCATACTCGGGGGGAAAAGCTATCTGCCGACTTCCACATACATGAGCTCAAAGATGCTCACAACTGATAGTATGACATCTCTCCCATCAGTGGCATCATTGAGATTCGAATAAAATCTCCAGATTGTTATGCAGAGAATTGTATAACATCTATATTTTTACACCGAATAATAAAAATAGTAATTAAATACCTGTCTAATGGGTGTGCACTGATAGCAACAATTTTTTTTCAGTGTTAGTAGTAATGACTTGTTAGATAGTTTATACCATCCATCCTACTGTCCATACTGTACATGCATAGCAAGAGAGATAGCATTTGTTAACATTAGTTACCGTTATCTAGCTAGCATAGTTTCTGAGTGGCAATTCTACATCTAGATGATTGAGATAAGAGGTGTTAAATATGTTTCCCACAAATTTTATCCTACATTGTTCCCTTTTATCATTTAATCTTTAGATGTCCTAATTTCTTGCAGATATGTAATGATGTAAAGTTGAAAGCACTGATCCATGATGCATCTACAAGCCTAATAGTTAAGTTTGTAATTTCTTGTAGAAGTTGTAAAAACTTAGAACCGGTCTGTCTATTTCTCAGATAACGCCAGTATACGTCGACTGGACAACAATAGACTGGTACCAGTTCTTCTGTCTGTGGGAGCAGCTGCCTTCTGCAATGAAACGAGTTGCAGAGATGGTGGGAATTCAGGAAGGCTTTCTGGCACGCTCTGTCAGCGGGAAATTAATCGCCAAAACAGAAAAACAGCGCAGACAGATGGCCATTCACAAACGGTAATATCACATTTCTGAACTTTTTTTAATGCATGATTCTTAAACAAAATTGTTAAATACTCCTATTTGACTAGTTATATTTGTCTACTCTATGAGTGCTGCATGTATTCTGGAATTTTCTACTTTGGAAAATATGAACAAAATACTTTTTTTTCTTAGCTGAGACAAATATTGGAGGAATTGCCTTTCAATTTACAAAATTATTCCGAAATAAGTCTAAGGTAGTAATGTCACTTTTGTTTTGTTGCGTGTTGTAGTTTTTTCACCACGCTTGTATTGTTTGATCTGGTCAACGAGGAACCTCTTGGAGTCGTGGCGAAGAAGTACGGCTGTAGCCGAGGACAGCTGCAGTCACTTCAACAGTCAGCGTCTACCTACGCAGGTTTCCCCTCTATTTATTATTTAGAACTGTAAACCTTTGCGGTACTTTGTATAGAGCTTTGTTAAGAACAGAATTTGTGTCTGGCAGTAAGTAACGTTATTCTGAATGGCAGGTATGGTTACAGTCTTCTGTAATCGACTCGGATGGCACAACCTCGAGCTCCTGCTGTCGCAGTTCCAAAGTCGTTTGAGCTTCGGAGTGCAGCGAGAGCTGTGTGATCTGGTGCGGATCTCTTTGCTGAACGCCCACAGAGCACGAGCGCTCTACAGTGCTGGGTTGGTTACTGTAGCTGAGGTCGCACGTGCAAACGTTACTGATGTCGAGAAAGCCTTGAGGAAAGCCGTTCCTTTCAAAAGGTAACTTGTATTACTGATTTTACAGAGACAGGGTGGTGGTGTTGTTGCTGGAGCCAGTCCTGGTGCAGGGATCTGGCAAACCATTTTAAGAACTAAAGTTTACTAATAGCTGTACTAATAGCTTTACCAATAAATGTTGTGAAAACTAACAATTGTGAAGTTTTTGTCAAAATCGTGCTTTTGGTTTTGAGAACATATTTAAGCAGCAAGTGCATTCACGATGAGAGAGGAACATTTATTGCTTTTAACTGTTTAGTCTGAATGTGTGCCATCTCTTTTTTCTGTAAAAATGCACAGAAATATTATCGACTAGACACTGGCTAATATCAGAACTGACACCTTATCTTAATTATTGTAGCACTTTCAAATGTCAACCCTCATATTTAAAAGATGACTAACCCGCTTATGATATCTGTAATCATAGTTCTCGGCAGGCGGTGGATGAGAGCGAGGAGGAGGCTCAGGAACGCAGAAGCATGCGCTGTATCTGGGTCAGTGGGAAAAAGGCCTTGACCGAGAGTGAGGCTGCACAGCAGATCGTGTCAGAGGCCAGGCTGCTCCTCCAGCAGGATCTGGCTCTTCTTGGTGTGGAGTGGAACCCCAACTCCCTCTCGCCAGAGGCTAGAACAAATTCTTCTGATGAATCAACAGATTCCAGTTTACAGTCTCTATCTGAGGGTTCATCCAACGAGAAGAATGTTAGGACTGAGAAATTGAGGAAGCTCGTAAAAGGACATCATATACCAGCTGATCAAAATTCTCATTTTGATAACGCTCAAAGCCATACAAACCCAAAGAGTTCCACTGCAAATCCAGAAAACACTATGAACGCTGAGCAACAGTCTAATGTATTACACAAAGTACTAAAATCCATACGTGCCAAAGACAAAATAGGTCAGAATGGCTGCGACACTACTGAGATATCAGCATTTCCAGCAAACTGTAGCCACAGTTCTGATCTACATTGCAACTCTACCTCACGCAATGGCAAACATTCTGCAAGTCCACTACCTAAACGGAGACGGGTGGAAGATCATGAAATCAAGGTTGATTCTGGGGCCAGAGTAACTGAAGCAGAAAAACCCTGTCCAATAACAGATGCAGAAATTAGGCAAACATCAACCGTTCATTTGAATAATTGCCACTCTGAATTAAACAGCGGAAAAACACCAGATATTACTACACTGCAAAGCACAGCATTATACAAAAATCGTAAGCTACAGACATCCTGTCTATCATCTATTCCTTTTAGTCAGCCCCATTTTCCATCCTGTGATGAGAAAACTTACACAGATAAGATGAAAAATGACCATAAAGGTTTAAGTGAGATCAACAGGATGATTGTTTCTGAAAAGGAAACTAAAAAGGGAAAGTACCCGGACTATTACAAGAAAGACTCAACAAGAGATGAGATTTTAAGAAAACATGAATCTTCTAGTACTTCTGTGGACTTTTTGGTGAGCTCAGATATGAAGTCTAGACTTGCGAC